GCCGCAGGGACGTCACGGGGCCGAAGTGCAGGGGGCGGGGCGGAAGGGGCGGGGCGGAAGGGGCGGGACCGTGCCCGCCCCCTCCCCTCCCTTCTGACAGTCGTGAAAAGGGCCCAGGCATCCGGCCCGGAGGGGGTGGGGGAGCAATTGGGGTCAATTCGGGCTATTTCCGGGAGGCTTGGAGAGTTTGCGGTTCCTGGGGATTTTGGGGCAGTTGAGGACTCTCTGGGTGCCGCGCGGGCCCCATCCGGGACCATCCCGGCCCTATGGGCCCCGTGTGGGGCCGGAGGTGCTGTCCKGGCCCCGTGTGGCTCCCTGGGGCCCTCCAGGGGCTCCGTGGGCTCTCTCGGTGGCCGCAGGGATGGAGTGGCCTGCAAGGCTCCCCAAGAACTCGGCAGGGCCCGTACGGCCTCGGTGGGAGCCTCACAGGGCCTCTAAAGCCCCCGGGCCCACAGGGAGCCCACGGCGGCCTGGACGGGGCCGTTGAGCCTGCCGAGCCCACAGGGCGCCTGTGCAGCAGCAGCCCAGACGGCCCCACAAGGCGCCGCCCCCACGCAGGCTCCCCGGGCCGCCTGTAGCGCCGCCGTTTCCAGGCCGGGGAGTCCTTAGGGCTTGAGCCATGGTGCCCCGGGACGCTGCCCGCGCTCGTCCACAGCCCTGCAGACCCGCACGGAGCCCGGCTGGAAAAGTGCTCGTTTTGTGAGGCCTGGGGAGGCCGCACGCAAGGCCGCAGGGCCCCCGGGGCCCGGGCGTTAAGGGCTGGCAGCCGTTCGCAAACACACACACGTCCTCGGTGGCTGCCGGCGCGCGTGGAGTTCGCCCACGCTCAAGGGGAGGCACGCATGCGCCTGGCGGGATCCTAAACGCGCATGCGCCATAGGGAGAGGACAGCGCGCACGCGCGTCCCACCCGCCCCCRCGTCCAACTCTCCGATACGCGTGCCTTTCTGCGCACGCGCAGAGATGAAAGAGACTGCGCATGCGTATTACGCATTGCCGTGACCTCTCCTGCCCTCAGGTGCCCAAAAGAGCGCGGTGCAACACGGCAGGAGGCGCATGCGCAGAGCGCTCCAGCGCGCTCACCGCTGCCATCATGTGTCCAAAAATGTGTATTGCAAGGGTAAAAGTGCACACAGCTGTGCGGTCCGCTCCGCCTGCTCACTGCCGCCCCCCGGTGACATAAAGTCGGTACTGCAACGGTAAGGGGCGGCGCGTGGACTCCGGGCTTGCCAGGCTCAGCGATTCCTACGGGTATACAAAGACGAGTAGTGCAAACGAAACGTGCTTGCTCCTTGCCGGGCAGCATCATAAAGAGGGGGCATACATAATAAGCCCGTGGGAATGGCAAATTCTCTCTGCATAAACAAACGTTAATTACTGCGCATGCRAAAAAGATCAGAAAACGACTAGCACACGTACCCCTGATTTTCCACCCCACCAATGAGGCATATGGAGAAAAAACACAACCCAATACGTATGCATTATCAACAACCTTATAGTGCACATGCGCACTAGTTACCCGCTCCGCTGCCAGTGCACACGTGCGACATAGCGGGATTAGAGAACGCGCCCCGTATTTAAAGCTAGCAATGCGCATGCGCGAAGCAATGACTCGCCCCTCGTTGCACTGAGCACGCGCAGAATTGCCACGCAGTACGCATGCGACCACCCTGTTGGTAATGCACATGCGCCAGAGAATGTCGCGAGAACGCATGCGTCAAATTTAGCSACGGAAAGCGCATGCCCAGTATTGAGCTCATAATACGCATGCTCAATGTGCCCTGCCTCAAAACGCATGCGCACCGCCGCCGCTCTAGTACGCAAGCGCAATAGCGTCCGCTGCTCTCTTGGCAGTACGCATGTGCGTGACACTCACGATGCGGGCGCATGCGCTGTCTTTAAAACAGCAATGCGCATGAGCTGCTYGCTGTCATCACTGCGCACGCGCAGAATTCGCTACTCAATACGCATGTGCCCGCCTTGTTGGTCAGGCACATGCGCTATAGAGTGTGCGGAGAGAACGCATGCGCCAAATTTAACGGGGGCGGGGAACGCATGCGCATAATTGCGATGACAGTAGGCATGCGCAACGTAGCTCGCATCAAAACGCATGCGCACAACAACATTCTAGCGTACATGCGCGTCAGCTGCTTTCCTTGCAGTGCGCATGTGCATGACACTCACGATGAAAGCGCATGCGCTGTTTTTAAAGCTAGCAGTGCGCATGAGCAGATTGGTGGGGCCACTGCGCACGCGCAAAATCGTCACACACCACGCATGTGCCCCGCCCTTGATGGTCATGCGCATGCGCCAGAGTGTGCGGGAGAACGCATGCGCCAAATTTAGCCGCGAAATACGCGTGCGCCATATTGACGTACAACTACGCGTGCGCAATGCAGCGCCCCCAAAAACGCATGCGCTTCTCCAACGTTCTAGGACACATGCGCAATAGAGTCGATCGCTGCTCTGTCAATGCGCATGTGCAAGACGTTCCTGATGGCAGCGCATGCGCTGTCTTTAAAGCCAGCCATGCGCATGAGCGACTCGCTGGCGACACTGCGCACGCGCAAAATCGCCACGCAGTACGCATGTGCGCGCCYTATTCGTCATGCGCATGCGCCAGAGCTTTCGGAGAGAACGCATGCGCCAAATCTAGCAGGGAAAGGCGCATGTGCTACGATGAGGTGACAGTACGCATGCGCAACGTAGCTCGCACCAAAACGCATGCGCACACGGACATTCTCSTGCACATGCGCAGTAGAGTCCGCTGCTCTCTTGGTAGTGCGCATGTGCATGACACTCACGATGAGAGCGCATGCGCTGTCTTTAAAACTAGCAGTGCGCATGTGCAGATTCGTGACATTACTGCGCACGCGCAAAAAAAAAAAATCGCAAGGCAGTACGCATGCGCCCTTATTCTTGGTCATGCGCATGCGCTACGGGGCACGGCGAAAACGCATGCGCCAAATTTAGCTACGAAGTACGCGTGCGCCGTATTGACGTAGCTCTACGCCTGCGCAATGCAGCGTCCTCCAAAGACGCATGCGCAGCACCAGCGTACTAGCGCACATGCGCAGTAGTCATCTGCTGGCTTATCAGTGCGCATGTGCAAGACAGCCTGAGTAGGGCGCATGCGCTGTCTTTAAAGTGACTGCGCATGTGCAACGCAGTGACGCTATTGCACATGCGCGAAATCTCCACTCAGTACGCATGCGTTTGCCTTGTCGTTATTGCGCATGCACTAGAGAAGAGGCGAAAACGCATGCGTGAAATTGAGCTTCGAATAACGCATGCGCAACATTGAGGTAACAGTACGCATGCGCAATGTAGCGCTCCCAAAACGCATGCGCGCCCCCCATGTTGTCCTACTCATGCGCAATACAATCGGCTGCTGCCCTGTCAGTGCGCATGTGCAATACCAAAAAAAAAAAAAACCTTGACCGGAGCGCATGCGCTATCGTTAGTCTGCCTCGCGCACGCGCAGGACTGCGACTACACTGCGCACGTGCACAATCGCCACTCAGTACGCATGCGCCCAACCAATCTGCTATAGCGCATGTGCCCGCCGTGCCCCCAAATGCGCCTGCGCTAGAGGACTGCGAGAACGCATGCGCCAAATTTACCCGTCAAAAGCGCATGTGCGGCATTGAAGTAACAGTGCTCATGCGCAAAAAAAAAAAACCTTACGCCTGCGCAGCGTCGGGATCCTATTGCACATGCGCAGAAAAGGTCGGCATCGAACGATCAGGGCGCATGCGCTGATTGTTGATTCGATTGCGCAATCGCGAACAGAAAACGCGTTTAAAAGCCCGCGGTGGGGGGGGGGGCGGCGGCTGTGGAATGCCCATATGTGACGCACGGACCGCGCCTTAAGGGCCTCTCCCCAGGGACCCAGTGCCGTTTTCTGTGTTGGGGGAAAAAAATCATAATAAAGAAATACACAAGCGCTGCTCCCGTGGAGGACTGCACGTTACTGCACGTTGCTKCTGCCTGCCGAGCCGGTTGCTCTGCTTGCCGCTGCTTTCTGCCCTTTCAGAACGGGTAAGACACCGAGCCTGYCGCTGAGGGCATCGCTCCGTGAAGGCAGCCGGGCCGGGCTCGGAGCGGGAGCCGTGCGGAATGACGGGGATCCGGCGCCGCGGAGCCGAGCTGCTCTTTTCGCATGTTCCCTTAGGGTTCCCGTTCTTATCGGGGGCGGGCAGGGACGTGCGCTCGCCGCGGCGAAGGAGGYGACGGGAGGCAGGGGAGTAGCGCGAGAGGAGGAGGAGGAGGAGACCGGTGGGAGAAAGTGTCGGTGTCCGCGACACTGGCGGCTCCTGCTGCGACAGACCCACCGAGAGGGGCGGGAGTCCCGAGGAAGCCRAGAAGCTCAGGACCGAGCCGGCTGAAGCTCGATCGGCTCTGCTGGGACATGGGGGCGACCCCCCTGCTGCCTCTTCTGGTGCTCTCTGCGAGTGTGCGGGGAGAGGGAGGGAAGGAGAGAGGCACCTTCAGATAACTGCAGGATGCGATCTGTGCCCCCACTTTTTGATGTAGTGCAACCATAGCGAAGGAGCCTGGACAGCTTTTCTCAGTGCAGCCTGTTGGCGGGTTAACATACAGGGGACCCACAGGTGTTTGTCTCCTCTTCCTTTTGGATGCCTCTTGGATTCCCTCCATGCATGCACAGTGCAGGCTTTCTGGGATAATCCTGCCGTGCGTGGTGCTTACAGAGTGCACAAATGTAAAACTGCAGGTTAAGGACTCCTGGTTTTTTTTTTTTTTTTCGTTTTTCCTGACCTATTAAATAAAAAAAAAATAAATAAAAAAAAAAGGAACACAAAGTGAAGAGAAAATAAAAAAGCAAGTTGCTGGTGAAGGGCCTAAGAGCACCTCGGTGAGCCAGGCGATGGGCTGCTATTTCTAATTACCCCCTTTAATCAGCAACAACGCGCTGTGTTACATCCCGGGAAGACCCAAGCTGCGAAGATTCCCTGTAAGGCCCAGAGTGAGATTAAGACACAAACGAGGTCAAATGCTGCCAATCAAGGGAATTTATTGAGGACTTACACAAAGAACATATTCRTGTGTTGCAGTAAGACAATAGCAATAGGAAAGAGAGGGAAAGATAGGAAGGAAATCTAGSAAGCAGTCAGGATAGCATTGCAACACACAGCTGCCACCACCRTGGATCCAGCGGTGTGCTGTTGGTCCGTAGTCTTCGTGCACATGGGTGGTGGGGGTCTCCGGATCACCGTCTGTGATTCAATTGCTTAGTCTTTTATAGGTTATCCAAGAAAGTTGTCTCCCAGAGGACAGCATTCCCACCACTGTGGCTTCGGGCGGTACACATCAGCTGACGCAGCGTGGCTGTTCCTTGACCCCATCCAAAAACTCTTTTGAGTCCTTACCTGTTCACAGCTGCTTAGCTGGGTTCTTACAGAAAATTCAGCAGAAAGGCAAATGAGCTTTGAGATAGTCCCTCACACCGTGATAGCGGAAAGGACTGGAGAGGGTGTCCGGCAGGTGGGGGACCCTACGTCGAGTTGAAAGAAACAACCTTCCCATCTACAGATCACAACAGTTTCATTGGGCCCCCAAAAAAGCCTCACAGTAGTCGTCCAGAAACCTGAGCCCTCTCTTGGTTCCATTAGCAGGGTAGCTCATGGGAGAGGGACGTCTCGGACGGAAGCGCCTGGGACGTCGCGCTCGCATATTTCCTTCGGGTCGCAGTCACCTGTGCTTGCACACCTGCCTAGTGGGGATGTTGGAGCTTCTGCACCCCAAAGGTGAGGGCTTGGGAAGGGAGATGACCAACTCCAGTGCTGTGGTTCATCCGTGAAGCAAGCTACCGATAGCATGCATGGCGTGGCACGTACCACAGTTTTTAGCTGTCCTGCACCAATGTGCAGGCAGGGCGTTCCACGATTATAGACCGGTTCTAGGAGCGCTGTGCTATTGTCTGGACGTGGCCCTATGTTCCTGGAGCCAAGAGGGCTACAAACACTATGGCTCTGTAACAGCTGGATTACTGCCAGCGGCACGTCATAGTCCAGGCGGCGTGTCCCAGCTTCGCATTCTTCTGTCTAGGACCTGACATTGCTCTTGTTTTTTATCACAGATTCACAGAATGGTAAGGTTGGAAGGGACCTCTAGAGACCGTCCAGTCCAACACCCCTGCTTAAGCAGCAACRCCTAGAGCATGCGGTACAGGGTCACGTCCAGTTCCCGGAGCTATGTACGCGCCCGGAACACGTCTGGCACGGTACTGGCGCAGGAGGCAGCCTTTATCTTTTGCCTGACTTGCCAGCATCTTGTTGGCAGATGGCGGCTTGTCCCGTGCCGCTGGCCGAAAGCGGCGGGCTGTCGTTAGCGACCGGACGTGTTTGCGGCCATCCCAGCGGCCTCATCGGCCACCTCTCGGTTGCACTCGTGCCACCGCTCCGTGCCCTTGCGCCTTCCTAGTGCCCTTTCACAGTTTTATTTCCTGTATTGTTGAAGCTGTGTTGCGTTTCTTGTCGCCTGATGTTGCAGGTTGAAGATTTGGGAATGCAGGGGGCAGATTTGGGAA